ATTTTTTGCATCATTTTCCGTGATTGAAACAGATTAGGCCTACCTTCAGATTTAACATAAGGTTATAACAGCACTCACTCATAGTCAAAGTTCTCAGTGGGAAAACCGTTTTTTTTTTTTAGAAATTGCTCGAGCAGTAAATCTGCATTTTAGTTTAAACCGAAATGAGAACAAACGGTCCACAACTACGGGAGCGGAAGGATGTTTGCTGCTAGCAAAATGCGGGTGCTCAGACTATCTCCATTTGCCATTTCGTCTTTCACTTGGAGTGAAGTGTGGTTGAAGGGACTGGACTTTGTTGGTATTCATTTGAGATTTTTTTGCAGATTGGCGCTGCGATTCAGCAAATGCAGCACATTGTCGTAATGGACAAGGGAGATGCTGGCATCTGGACGGCACTTGGCGACGCGTACAAAAGGCGAGGCAATTATCAGAGTGCTATCAAAGCGTATCAGGAAGCCATGCAGCTTAATCCCAATGATGATGTTGCTCGAATTCAGGCACTGTTTTGGCTTTAGGAGCAAGTTCGCTCTCGTCCTTGGAAAAGTTTGCGAAGTCCGCAAACTAATTGAGTGGCTAGTCGCACTGTCCGAGAATGCTAATTGTACAGGCGAATGCAATTTCACTGGCTGCTCGTGCATGAAATTTTTTACTTCTTCAACGCCTTTCCGCGAAACTGTTCATTTGTAATAATTGGCCAACGCACGGGCTGCCCGTGCGAACATGCTTTTTTTGCAGAGTTCCCCGCAGTTTTTGTCGCTACCGGCATCGGTTTTTTCCTCAAATGCTTCTAGTTAAAGGAATTTCAGACTGGCTGCCAGAACTGTCAGGAAACATCCCCTCAAAGTTCCAGTTTTCTAGCTTCTCACGCTCTCGACTATGTGACTTACACGGGCTTGTACGTAGGTACCACGCTTACCCGCGGGCAGGGTTTGAACTCGTTAGTACCTACTTGGACAGGGAACACCCCCCTAAGATTCCAGCTGTACAGCTTCTCAGAACCCCGAGTTATGAACTTACTCGAAAAAAACTTTGGGGGGCCCGCATGCGGGTACCACGCAGGGTATGGCGCCAATTTTGGGGATTGGGGCCCGTACGTGCATGTAGATTAAGTCCCCAGAAAAAAATTTTAGCCCCGTAGCTTTTGTAGGTCTTGAGATGAAAAACCGTGACAGACGCACACACGGACACGCAGACACACACACAGACAACCTCTCGTCAATGTAAGTTTTTCGCATTGCATTGCTGCAAAAAACGCATAAAAACCAGTAAACCATCATTTGCCCTGATAGAAGAGCTCAATTGGTTTCCGTGCCGATGTCCCTGCCTCAAATTCAATGTTCTTTTTGAAATATCATTGACAGAATTCAGACGATTCATGCCAAAGATTTTCATTTTTAGCTTATCCAAATGTGCCAACTAATGGGTCATCTGGATGAAGCCGTCAGGCATTGCCTGGAGCTGGAACAACGC